ACCAGTATCGAGGGTGAATAAATTCATCAGTTGGATATCTTCTAGTCGATTCTTTCGCCCTTTTTCTTGAAGAGAACGTTAACAGAAGAGGAAAGGGGCCTGAACAATCCTCTTCTTTAGGAAAAATTATAAAACGGGATCGGTCGTTTTCAACCTTTCCTTCTTATTCTTATTCTTATTCTTATTCTTATTATTCTTTTTTTTCTTTCTTTTCAGTATACTTTTTCTGTTAAAGAATTGTCTTACGAAATGTAACGGGATTGTTAATTGGGGACCTTTGAATTGAACAAATCTTTTAAATAGAACATCATCAACAAGAATTTGATCATTTGTAATTATTTTTTCTTACGAGTTAAACAATTAATTTAGAATAAGAAATAATTCTGGTTTGTTAGATAAGGTTAGTATAAGAAAGTTTGTACGCCAGTGTCGTTGAGAGTCAACGAACAGGGTACCTTCAAGCAGCTCGTTATTATATCGATTATTCCACGCGTCGTCATATATATATATATATAAATATAGATGTGTATGTATATATATAGATGGGGATATTGGACACAACCCTGTGATTTCAAACACATATGCAAGTTCTTTGTAATCAGTAGTAGGTTGGTACATGCTTATGTATGTACGTTCACTTGCGTTTCCTAGTCACATTGTCTGTTGATAACAATGGCAAGCACATGTTCCCTGCGAATGCATATATGAACGCGCATGTGCAGATCGTTGAACGTAATATCATCCCTTATGTTCTTATCTTTCTTTTTATTCGTGTTTAAAAAACTTCAATTATCAATGAACGTATGAATGAGATTTGAGGATATTTGAATGATTGGTCGGTGGATGGTTTAATTTTTGAAACAATCCAAGTTGCAACGGATGTTAGATGACAGTTACTCTAAAATTAGATGCCCCTTTGATTTCCAGATCCTAACGATCCCTCGAGATGGTATTACAATTTATATTTAGTCACTCCTTCCTATCGTCGTATTAGAGGGGTCTGCAGTTTCTATATTGAGCTAGGACAACGAGAACGCTGAAGAAGACGTTAAATTCTCAAAGTCGTTCTTACATGTGCGCAACAGATTTTCTTCAAGAGTAGGATATATATATATATATACATATTCGTTTATAAATACATATTCGGTGTGACCAATTAATTTTGGGGATACACACATAAGCATTTTAATAGGAAACATAGCAAAACATTGAAGACCTGTGTAGTAGGAAGAATTTGTTTAAAAAGAAAAAATTCAACTATCGAATATCTTACAAATGTCAATGTTGTTTTGATGAAAAAGATATAAGCTTTTAAAACATGAGCGTGATAATTATATTACAAACTTTCTCAGATGTTGAACTTGCTACATATACGTACTTATTGCAAAATCTGTGCTCACGAATATATATATATATATATAAACCGCAAGGACCGGTTTTAAGTTTCCTTTTGCAAGGTAGACGTCTGCACGAGCAATACGAGGGAGTAAAAGCAAAAAGGGAAGGCTTTATACTTGTAACCGTGATATCGGTGTGGCAGGATGAGGAGAAACGTTGAAACGATGAAACGACGTTGCATCGTTAAGCCGGTAAACTGGAGGAAGGAATCACAGCTGAAAGCGCTTCCTTTTACTTTTCCCCCTTTTTTTCTTTTTTTTTTCGAACGTCACGATTCACTTCTTAAATCTTTTACGAATATTCTACATTAACGATTCTTATACCATATTATCTACATGATATACCAATTAGTTACTCGATAATCAACTCGTTTATGTTCATACGAGTTTTGTACTCTGACATTTTTCATCAAATCTCATTACCGGTTTTAATACGTGTACCAATACCAGTGTATGGTATGAAAATTTTGACGAATCTGTAAATATTATATACTTGTTTTAGTTTATTTTTTAAAATTGATCATTTATTTATTCGCAGAGTAAATATTCAAACTATATATATATATTTTATTCTAACCAATTGGTGCTGCTTATACTGTATGTATCTAGAAAACTCAACGTATTACACAATAGGGGTTAATTCTACATTTGATTTATTATTACATAAAGTGTCACAAATTAAACTATCACTGAAATGACCGATTATGGTATCAATAATTAAATTGCTGATAAAATGTAGCCAAAAGACAAATATTTTACATGCCTGGGATATTAAAAATGATAAACCCAACAACAAGGAACGTGTTAATATTGTCGACAATTTATGTTAGGTCAAAGATACTAACCGGAGGTATTCGATTAAGTTTCCGATCTTGATAATCTGCGATAACTATTGTCCACTACGTGTATCTTTCTAAAAAGTAAAAAAACAAAAGAATAAAAATTGAAGGAACTAGGTGAACTTGGAGGGCGCGTGTCACGCGCGATGCCTCGACTTCCTGCGGAAGTCTGTCACGGTGAAAGACCATACGAGACCTCTTCCCGTCTCTTCCTTCCTCTTCTTCTTTTGCTTTCTTCAAATGTATAGGTATAGTTATAAGTGTAAGTGTATATATTCGGAATTACTTCACCTTAACCTCTCCACCTCGTCACCCCAATAGTATTCTCCCTCGATGGTTCCGTATCTGTAACTACGCGCCATGTGTTCTCCAGTTTTACGATACGTAGGTATATTCCCTTCCCTCCCTCCCTCCTTTCTCTCTTTCCTTTTTTCCCTACCGTTCTATGAATGAAGAAAATTCGACGTTCACTACTTTCTGATCTCTATTTTAAGAAAAGGGAACCGTTATTGAATCTTTTTACTTACCCCAAATTGTTTATCACTTTCCTTTTTATGTCGGTTTGATAGGTATGCGTACTAACTTTTTCATAGGAAATCTGTTCGTATGCCAAGAAAAGTTAGTATTTAGTAACGGTATGTTATAGTACCATAGTCGATAATTTCAACAGTGGAACAACAGTTGTCGAATGTCCGAATTCTGAAACATGTCTAACTCGTAGGAGTGCGGGGTTTTGACTTTATCGGCTTACAGTCGAAGATAAAACTCAGTCGGTAAAGGAGAATAAAAGTTAGGAGAGATCTGTTAAGAAGAGAGGATCGAGAGGAAAGTGCCTGTACTGGGAGAATTCTTTTTCGTTAAGAGAACCACATCGGCCGAGTATTATGTGGTTGAACCTTCTTCTTCCTTGGTCGAGGATGCCCATCTCTTACACCGCTTGAACCAAGGATCTAAAGAGAGAGAATAAGAGAGAGAATAAGAGAGAGAATAAGAGAGGGAGAGAGAAAGGACAAAAACGCGGGAAACTAGTGCGAGCTGAACTTCCCGCCAGTTGCTAAGGCCTCCTTTTACGCGGGAAACGTGTTTGCCTCTACATACGTCTGCTAAAAGACGTTTTATCGTTCTAATTTGTTTCATGATTGCCTTTAATTGTCTCGAATATTCTAGGAGTTTATGACTCTTCTCTGTTGGAGTTTCGAATTTCTTTTTAGGCTAATATTGTACCGTTTCAACACAATTTCGTTTCATTTGTTTAATATCATTTTGTCTATAATTCAATTTAATTAGTACAGTATTTTTTGTACAATTAATTGAAAGTTTATGTTAATATTTTGTTTAGCGTAAATGATTATTTGTCAGTATTTTAAAAATATATGATCAGTATTTTTATTAAAAATAAAGATAGATCAGGTTTTTGTATTAGAATTGTATTCGGGTTATGTATTGATCAGGATACGTACTGATATTTTATATATCTTTTTAAAATCATTGATCATTTTTTTTTTGTATGAAAATATTGATATTCTGTATCACATTTACACATTTTTCGTACAGATTTTTACTATGTAAAAATAAATTGTATGTAATTGATAAATATTATTACATTACTAAACAAATTTAAAATGTTTATCAAAAAATGATTAAAAATATTCTCATCCAATAAATAACAGTTATTTCTTTTATTATTAACAGTTTGATATTTGTTTATAATGAAAAAAATTTATTTGCATATCATTCATACATAAATATTGGTTGAAATTCGAACAGGGCCGTGTTTATAATCATATTTATGTACACTTGTACACGTAGCTCGATTAGTATTAAATGTTTATAATCTATCAATCCTAACACACAAATTAATAATTAAATAATATACTTTAGTATATAAATTTAATTTAATAATTATTTGAAACACAAAAATAATATAAACAATCGCGAGATAAACTTGCGAATTTAATTCATTTTCTTATAAGAAAAAATGTAAATTTGTGATTAATATTTTCATTTATACAAAATAGTCATAACGTACGTTGAAATTTTTTTGGATACCAAGAGTTTAGTCCTTCCTTTTGGTCCTGGTCTATTTTTTTACGAGTCAGCGAGAACTTGATATTTATTCAGTGTACTGAATAGACCGTACGAAATATTACATTTGCGTTGACTTCCTACACACTGCAGTTGTGCTTGGATGTATATGTGCGTTGTGAGGAAAGGCAGAGTCAAACACATGTGATATCTGGCGCATATGCGACGAGATGATCAGGCTTGGTTGCATGAACCCTCCGTTTGATGATTTTATGTTTGGTAATGTCTCCCACAGGACACACCCACGCGTTCCTTCCTACACGCAACAAACGCAGATCTGATATGATATTCGAATATTTTATTTATTTCATCAATATTTCTATTTATTACTGTTTAGTATTTTGTTAAATAAATGCCAAGTATCATAGAAGTTGTTTTGTTTTGTTCAAATCTTAAGTAAATATTTTATTTTTTGGTTATTTCAAGATATGAAGTTTCAGGTATCGAATAAAATATAAGCCCATACTGTCAAAAAGTTGTATAGTGACTTTTTGGACAATCCTCTACATAAATATTTTATATACATATTATAAATATGAATAATTAATTGTTATTGTACTAACAGGTCGTATGTTTTTAGTACATTATTGTTTATTTAATCAATATCAATAAATTATTACACTTATCAATATTGTAATTACAATATTACAAGTGTTTTTTTTATATTAATCAGCGTAATTTTAATGACTTATAGTACATATTACAATTTTATTATAAATAATGATTAAAAATGTTGAAAAATATTGACTTGATAAACAGCAGCCTACGGATATCACATCTTCCGGTGTCGAGTACGAGTTGGTAATTTTCTCTCATCTTCCCACTCCCTCATTCTTTTCCCCCTTCCTCATTCTCCCTATGTTCTTTCTCCCTTCGTTCGCAATGAAATAATTAAATGAATTCGTCTGTATATTTCTAGTATCTTCCGGTCCAACAGCACAATCTTCCTTTCTTTGCGTATTTCGTTACAAACACTAGAAAATTTGTCGATCCTTCAGAATTACCTAGGAGAAAATTCATAGTTATAAATAGTGTTTTTAGGCGAATAAAATTTTCCTTGGAAAATATAATACTTTGATTTGACTATATTGAAATTAACATCTATTTAACACCCGTACTTTGACGTATATTTAAACAATATATTTTGTTATATCTCAAGAATAAAACTCAGATGATTCACAGATGCAACTGCGTAACCTATTGTTTGACCTTTTTTTCGTTTCTTACCTTCTCCGAGAAGACCGAACAAATTTGAACACGATATCGGAAGATAAATGGACAGTTTGAAGAGTAAATTTGAAAAAAGAAAAAACTCGACAAAATTTTTTTTAGGATTATCACAGGATGTATTATAAATACTCGTCTGACTTATCTTAGTTTTCGAGTTATGAAAGATTAAAGGGAAAATGTTCGAAATGTTACCAGCCTCTTGCTGTAATTCTTCTTACGAATAGGTAGTCAAATTCTACATTCTGGAAATATTTTTAGGCATAATCGACATGTTTACAGTTAATTTTCGTTTACACAGTCATACATAAAAATCATGTCGATCATTTCAGCATAACCATACAAAATTGATCACGTAGATATATAACTCCTGAAATATTGATACGTATTTATGAAACATTCTTTATAATAAAATGCAGGAATTATCTCACAAATTAAAAAAATGAAATTTTGCATTTTATTTTAAAAGATAAAAATCGAAGGATTTTAGTTTAACTTGGAGAAAGACCGTTGAGAAATACCAATTGGATAACGTCGATCGTTCGTTTTCTAGCGATTCGTTAAGGGTGCAATCGTATTTAAGGGTGTCCTGGGGTAAAAGACCCCAATAACTTTCATTCGGATAGCATCGAGACGTATGTCAGTACCTACGTACTGTACTAGGCACTACTGTGCACGTAGCAAAAGATGAAATGGTACATGATAGGGGAGAAGATAGCCAACAGCCGGTAGACCGCGTGATTCATGAACAATTGTTCTCATCTATCCCTCTCTGTTATATAAGCTTCGTGCTAAAGTAATCGACTTATAGAATATTCCACCCTTCCTTCTGTTTTTCCCTTTTATTATTTATATCTTTGGATAGGTTTAGAATAATGAAGTAAATTATGGAATTCTTATCCTTTTGAAAGAGTCAAGTAATTAGTTAATGGATTAAACTTATGGTAAAACACAATTTGTTAAGTAGTTGCATTAATTTGGAATTTTTTTTTTAAATTTTTACTAAATACTTTTTCAAATAAATTCTTAATATCTATGAATATTTTGTTCGGTATATAAATAATCAGTAGAATTATCAGTATAATGATTAGAATTTATATAATTGGATTAAAGTTTTGCTTTTAGGATTAAATATTCATATTGATATATATTATCATTAATATTGAATATTTCGTTAAATATTTACAATATTTGTATTAATAGTTGCAATTTTAATTCTGTTTCTTTTTTTTTGTTGTATGATAAAAAATTGTTGAAAAGTTTTTTTTAATCTATAATAATCTATCATAATCAACGTTGACTTTAAATGAAAGGAGAGAAACCGCGAATCTGTGATTTCTCAGTCGACTTCGTGCGTCTTTCGTTGTGCATGCGGTCAACGAATCATAGTAATTGTCATGCGGGTATCGGCACATATGGGAGAGAACACGTGTTCTTGGTAAAGCATAGAGATGCTGGACTATCGAACTTCCCCCCTTTTGTGTCGACATCTTGCGATCTCATTTAGGCTTATTCATTCACTGTGATACTACCTACATTGTACGTATTTGTTATACTGGTCTTCTTTTTGAAGAATCCAATCGCATTACTTCCTTCCATTACGTCGCATTTCGCATGCTAATTTCTTTTATAAAATATATATTTTTTTATTTTTTTTTTTTAAATTAACCCCCAGCATAAAATCCACACACAATTTATATATATTGTAATTTATAATTTTAATAAATATTATATATTTGAAATATAAAGTAACAATTGTATCGTCAAATTATACAGAAATTTATTGAAAATCTTACATTGTCCTTGAAATTGAGTAAACGTAATTTGACATTTTGTTATAAAAAAATAATTGGTTTACAATGTAATTGTGTATTTTCTATATATAATAATAAGTGATAAAATTAATAGTATTTAAAATTTATTTTAGTTTTTTGAAAGTCTGAAATGAAACTATAATTTGGTAGTTTACATAATTGTACGATCTTAAAGTTTTATCGTTTAATTTTTACAAAATAAAGATCAGAAGCTAGGGATTTATTTAACTAATGTTTTATCTCATTTTTGGACTGACAGATTTCTGTATAACCTGACTCCACATATAGTTATAACACCTAAATAAAATGAAACTTACAAATCTAGATATTTAATCGTGTTTTTGTAAAGTTACAAAGTGTTCTCTTAAAGATTAACTTAATTTTCATTTCCTTGTTCTAAATAATGATTATTTTGATTTTAGGTTCGTCCAAAGTCTTGCCGCAGGTAGTAAAAGAACAAAGGTGAGTGATACTTATCAGCAACTTATTTTTCTATCTGCTTTCTATAATATATTTCTAGAAAGTGTCCCTGAATTAATTTAACCGAAAAAAAGAAAAACAAATTGAAAAATCAATATTTGTTTATTACGTGTAAAAACAATAGATTTTAAAATGTTTCAAATCTATTCAGATTACTATGTTATCCATAAATTTTAAATAATCTCGCCGACAGCCCGCATTGATATATTTTCAGATTAATATTATGATACTCTATAGGGGTCCATTACTATTCCTCACGGTGATCCATTACTTGGATTTGTCCTATCACCTTTCAGTATTCCAAAAATCTCTGATATACTTTAAACATCTTGTTTTATACATAGTATTATTTACAATTAATTTTATTCGACGTTTAGCAAATTGTTTTATCACTTCAGATTTGTCATCACACTGATGCCAATCCCTTTTACCACGACATTTAAAAATTATTTTATCATAAACTTTTACTGCTAGTTGATTAGACTAAAATCTAAACGAAATTTAGGACAATTTGAACTTTTAAAAAAAGAGGAAATCTTAAACCGTACGTGTCTGTTAATTTTTAAAATTTTATTCATCCTACAATGTTCAGACTCGTGTCACATTATCAAGTTTATATATGAATACTATAAATTTTCTTATTTCCCATAAGGTGTATTGATACTTGCGGTCCCAACAGGTATACATATCAACATACAAGGGAATATAAGAATAGAGGATGGAATGTGGAAGATTTGAAAATCCTCTGAAAAGGGAAGATTTGAAATCTTTCATGCGGCACCTTGATCCTTTTGATATAGTAGAAGTAGGCAACTGAGAAACCTCACGAATACCGTCTCTAAAAGAAATTTCGCGAGCTAAACTTTTCTTCGTCAGAATTTTACTGCATTTTCTTCTACTTCTTCTATTTCGTTTTCTGGTTTCTTTTTTTACTTTAAAGTTACTATACTTTTCCGTCCTTTTAAAAGCCTCGTGAAAGAGGGCTTATTTATTTCTTCGGGGGGATTCGGTATGAAAGTAATTTTTTTTTTTTTTTTCTATAACATTGTGCGTGTATACAATTTATATGCGTCCATCTTCTATGTGAATCTAACGGAAAAATGTATCAATTAAAATTTATAGAATGAAATAAAGAATAGAAGAATTATATAGAAGAAAATAAAAAGTAATTCCCTTTTAAAAAAATGATCTAAACATAACATTTGTTCTATATTTCACTAAACTTTTATCTTCTTACGTGGACAGTTGTTATAAGAACGAATGAATAATTGATAACTTTGTTTTTCGATAAATCGTTAGATTTTTCTTATAATCATTCGTATCGTATGTTATTTAAGAAACAAAATTTCAATCTTTATCGTTCATTCATCTTGGACAAATTCCTCGTGGGTGGGAATACCGAGTCAGATATTTTTAAGGGGTCGTTTTGTAAATTGAAGAATTTTGAAGCAACAACAGGTACGAGAACTCGTACAATGATCGATGCGAACGAACCAACCGTTTTTATATATACCTATATCTTTATTTCACAATTAGGTTGTCCGAAAGGATCTAAGATGGTTCGTCCTCGTGCGAACTTTCTTACGAGACGAGTCCTACGCTCGGTTGAGCGTGTGAGTTGCTTACAATTGCTATCGAGATATAAAAGGAGAAGAGCCTTGCTCCAGTGGTCCTACACCGGAAATCCTTTTATCGGGTCGGTGCGACGAAAAAGGGAACAAGAAATAAGATACAAAAAAAATCATAAAAAGAAATCATAGGAAAGAGAGAGAGAGAGAGAGAGAGAGAGAGAAATAAAAAATCAGTACTCCAAGGTACGCGTTGCGGCATTAATTTTTCTAACCGACCGGTATTTACTCAAGTTATAATTAACGACAAACAAAAAATTATAACAAAAAGAAATAATGGGAATGGAAAAAGAAAAAAAAGGGAGAGGGGGTACGGGACAAAAAAAAAAGGCGCAATTGTGCTGCACCTCTTGGAAAAAAAAAAAAACAATATTTATATATAATATATTATTTTATTTATTTGCTTTCATTTAGTATTTTTTTTATAATCTATTGTTTTTTTTTAATAACAGTAATAAACAAAACTGTATAGGCTCATTGGTCAACCTAATAAATTTTTTACATTATATATAATAATATCAAAAATGTTTTATAAACTATTTTAAAAAAACTATAGTGAATAATATTTCTTATTGCTATTTCTACTGTTATCTTAAACTATCAGCCATCTTTTTTTAAATGACCAGAGGTAGCTTATGTATAAGCGTTACAAGACTACAGCACCTTCAATTTGTGTTTCGATATACAACCAAATATTTTTATTATTTTTATTATTTAAGAAAAAGAAAAATTGATTTCTCTATTATGTAAAATGAGACAAATTCAAAAGTGTAAATATTTTTATTTGGAACAAGTTGCGTAGATAATTTGCAACATTTAAATGATCTGAAATTGAATAAATTCATTTGAAGATTTTCACTATAAAAAGAAAGTACGTAAAAGAGTATGGTTTTTTCACTCTAAAGAGATAAAAAGAAGATAACGTATTTTCTTTTTTTTTTTTCTTCATCTTGTTGCAAACAGCATGACATAAAATATTAACGCAGCACGCTAATCCTTACAGATGTTCGAAACGAATTGAATTGTCTGAAATCTTTACTTTCCAATCAATTTTTCTTCTTTCCATTCATTGTCATTTCCTTTTCCAAGTCCGAAACGTATCCAAGGTAAAATCCTTTTTTCCAAAAGTGTTTGGTTCTTGGAAAAAAAAAAAGAAAAAAGAAAAAAAAAGAAAGATTTTGGACTGTCACTTCTCTGAAATAAACGTTCATCAATCTTATTTACCTTGAAAGTTTTACGCGAAAATAAAAAATTATACAGAAGAATAAAAGTTAGGAATTCGTTTATACAGTTTCAAAGCTTATTCCCAAATGTCCTACCAGTTATAGAAACTTCTTCGAAGGAAACTTGTTTTCTTTAGCAGGAAGCACAGAACCCTTTCAAATGATTATTATTCTCCTTTTATTCACGTTTCTCAAGCAAATCCGGATACCGGATCATACCTTTTGCTTGACTGCTTTAAACATTTTTTTAGGCTTTTTCTTTGTTTTCTTTCTTGACTTATGGAAAATGAAATCAAAATTTAACATAGTTAGGGTAATATGTTTAAGTAAAATCATCCTATAATTTTTGTCATTATGTATTAAACTTTATTACTTTTAAGTAATCTAAAACTGAAGTAATATTTCCAAATATTTCTTTTTTTTGACGTTTGTATGAATGTTGAAAAAAAAAAAAACAGTAAAAACGTAAGATTGACACGTGCATATGATTGTTTGCATAGTAATTTGGTTAGGTGGTAAAAAATGCTGTTAGTCTACAACACAGATTATTATTTTGTATATATAATAATAGAATTCTATGTAGAATTGTTAATAATGAAAATGATAAATTACAAGCGTTAAATAAAAATATACAAATTTGTGTGTTTCACGATTCGATAAGCGTTTCTTTATATACGTGGAATGCGTAACACACGTTTACAGTATTTTCTTGTTATTTCTTAACACAAAGTGGCACACTGACGACTGCTTTCATGTATCTCACTGATGTAGGTATACCTATAGAGCAGATACCACGAATGTGTATATACCTACCGGTACGAGGAGGGTTCGAGTTCATTCATGACTTCGTTCATTCATCGAATCTCACGAGGTCCATCCTCCCTACTTCTTCCACGAGTTCTCGTCATCTTACTCGTCCTTCTTCGCGGCACGTCTTTCCCTCTCTCTCTTGCTCTCTCTTTCTTTCTATCTCTCCGTTTCTTTATCCCTCTCTCTCTCTCTCTTTGCTCTCCACTGTCCTTCTCAAAGTCGCGAGCCGGAAAATGGTTGGGCACACTTGGCGCTTAGTCGTCTTAGGTGTGTGTTGCTCCTTTTATTCGCTTTCTGAACCTTCGAACAGCGAGTAAGTTTCTATTGTAAGAGGAATAACGGTGTCTGCATCATTCCTTTCGTTGCTAACCAGAAACGACTTTTTTTTTTTTAGTTTATTTATTTTACTTATTTTATTCGCTTGCTCAACCGATTCGTCTGTTGGAATTTATAATTGAGGATGTGATTTAGCCCGATAACAGAATCGATTATTTTTCAAGGACTTTACTTTTCGTTTATTTTATTTTAACTTTAAGTTTATATCATGTCATTGATTTTTTTAGATTTTTCAATAATAATTCAACTCCCAATATTGTTGCATTCTATTTTCTCGTTTAACCAGTTTGCGTGGTGAAATTTATAATTGAGATTTAATAGAAAACAGATCGATTATTTTTTACGATACTACTTGATTTTTTTTTTTTTTTTTCATTTTAACATTGAGTTTATCATAATCGGTTATAGATATTCAAACGTAAATTCTGTTTCCAATATTATTGGAAGTGAAACTTTTCTTAGGTTATGATAAGAATACAATTTTATGAAATGACATGAAAAGAGAATGAGATAGAAATTACAGTTGATCGATAGTTAAACGAAATTATAAAAGGTTCTAACGTTAGTGTATTGTGTATGTGTTGTGTATATATATATGAGATACGTTGATTGATAGTTATTACGAGATACATTTGTTTATGAAAAGATGAATGAGGTAATCGTAACGATCCACGATTTTAACAGTCACTCACTGTATATATGAATCAATTGATTATTTTCCATATGATGATACGAGTTTCACATTCCACGTAGATTCTTTTTCTTTTTCGTTTCGAATCCAAAAATGAAAAAGAAATTGATTGTAACCGAAGACTAACAACTTCGCTTTTTTGAGAATCGCATTACAGGTTGTCCCTCGTTAATATTTCGTGCGTTAATAAACAAGCCCGCTAGAAATAAGCCGACAAGGGTGACTGATATACCGGAACGAAAACGCCCAGACCTTTTATGTAAGCCTTCGAGAGAAGTGTATTTAGATATACAC